ACCTGAGAGGGAGCGTCGGAAACAACAGGAGTGGGGAGACTGTTTTCCTTGATTGAGTTCCTGTGAACTTCCATCTGTTTCTGTGACAGTAGAAGAGAAGCACAGAGTGTCTTGCAGATCAAAGAAAGCAGGTAACCGTGATGGTCCCGGTGCCTCGGTTAGTGCTGCGTGGCAAGAAAAAGCAGTTTGGCTGCCGGAGATGGGAAAAGCGGTCTCTTGGCTGCTGCTCCTTGGACGACTTTGGGGGAATCCCGGTGCAGGGACCGTTTCTAGTCCTGCTTCCCCTCACCGTGGTTCTGGGGACTTTTCCACTGCGGGGTTTGCCGTTCCTGAACCTGTATTTTATCCAGCTGCAGAAAGTGAAACAAATTTCTTCTGGGACCTCACAGCTCCAAGTGTTAGCTTGTTTCTGCTCCATATTTGTGCCTGCAGTCAGGAAACAGCTGGGCGGGCTTGAGGAGCGAAGGCTGGTGGTGCACACAGAGGTGTGGTGCGTGGGAGCTTGTTTGGAGGGGACGTGGCCGGCGCGTGTCGCTGTGTCGGTACCAGAGCTGCTGGAACGCCCACCGCCCGCTGGCTGTCCTCGCCGAGGGGATCCTCACTGGTGTGGGCACAGGCGGGGTGTCACGGCTCTGAGCAGGGCTCGGACAGGCTCTGACTGAGGACGTTCGTATAGCTTTGCTTTAATGGGATGCTCTGCGCCTTTCCGAGGTCAGTCCTTTTCCCTAGCAGACAGCTGATGAGCTGCGTGCAGGGCTGTCCCCTGCTCTGGGTAGCAGCAGGTCTGTTTCACACCCATAAATTCTCTCGGTGCTCTCCCAGTTTTTGACAAGAGACCTGTCACAGTGCGTAACTAGAGAGCAGACTTTGGGGCATGTGTCCAGTGCAATCCCACAGAGCTAGATCGCTCCTGTAAAGGTCGGTGGTGTTCCCTCGGGATATCTGCTTTTCCTTCCCCGGTCATTAATTCTCTGCTTTAAGAAAAGACAATTTTCTTCAGAGTGTAATTGTTCAAAGAATAAAGGCAGCGATCCTGCCCAGCTAAATATGCCGCCGACTTTGGTGCTTTTATAGAAACCCTTCCTGAAACTCCATTTCCTGAAGGAAACAGCTTGGGGCTGGAGATGTTGTTCCCGGTGGATCAATCCTGAGCCAGGGTTCCCAGCTCTGGGGGGGCACTGGGCTGACTGGTCCTGCCTGACTGGTGCTGGAGCCAGGACACTCGCACCCAGCACCATTCCTGGGTTCTGGCTCCTAGCAGAGTTTTAATTTTTTTTTTTTTTTCAATTTGGGGAAGACAATTTCTGTAGCTGCCCTGCAAAGGTGTGCTCTGTGGCGGGCAGCGTGCGGGCAGCGCTCTGTTCGACCCCGATGGGAGAACGCTGGCTGACAGGACGGAAGGATGGAAATTTTTTTCATAGTCTCTAAAAGCAGTGTAGGCTAATTTTGTCTGTTGCCAAGGCTCGTGAAGAAATGTCCAAAAACCAAACGCATTCAGGGTAGAAACAGAAATTGTTCAAAGTTTTCGATTTGAGAATTATTTTCTTTGAAATATTTTGTCTCAGTCCAGTTTTCAGTTTCACTTTTAATAATAACGAAATCGATACTGCTTTAATGTCTCTTCCAGGTGACTTTCTGCCTGTACGTGTGTCACTTATTGGAAAATACGAGATTATGTGGCACAGAAGTTCCACTGGTGCGAGCGTAGGATGGTTGCTTTAACCAGGGAGTTGACAAATGAGTGCATCAGACCTTTTCTGTGTACCTCTGCGAGGGCAGCTCTGGCTGTGGCATGTCAGGGAGGACATTCTAGAAACACGTCTGTGTACGATTTGTCCTGGTTTTGTTTACATCTTTCTGCTGCTGAATAAATCTGGGGTTTCTGTAAAATCAGCCCAACTCTGAAAGCTTCAAGCAGAGGAAGGGGGGAAACGGGTCATAAGATTTAGGAACGTCTAAAACCAGCTGAGAGTAGCTTCAGAATTGGTGTGACGCTTCCTGTTTTCTGCCGATTGCTTTGCCGTCATGTGTCGAGGCTGATGTACAGGTCACAAAGGAAAAGAGTAATTCAGCTCTGTCCCTTGAAGGGAATGACATTGTCCCGTCCCCCTCGCTCAGCTCGGTGATGCCTGTTCACCGAGCTTTCAGGCTGCGTTCCTGATCCGGCTGTTTGTTAAAGCTCCCCATTTCTCTGCCGTTGTGTGTTGCAGCGGCACGTCCCCACTGGCCTGCCTCAACGCCATGCTCCACTCCAACTCCCGGGGAGGCGACGGACTCTTCTACAAGCTGCCCGGGCGCATCAGCCTCTTCACGCTCAAGGTAAACACCAGGTTCCTGCTCTCGGCTGCGGGCTGGGGCGCGAGTGCTGCTCGTGATGCGTCGCTGAGTGCTGGGCTGTCGCCGAGCATCAGAGGAGCTGAACGTGCTGCCTGCGAGGTCGGCGCGTGCAGGAGTGTCTGGAATTCATTATTTCTTTAGAGCTTGTGCCTTTCAGCTCTGTTCAGTCATAAATGATAAATTTCTTTTAAAACCCCCTGTTTCTTGAATTGCACAAGCCAGAGAAATCCTCTTTTTCCAGTACTTGGTGCCCAGCTTGGGTGGCTGCTTATCCAAACAGCCCCGTTCACCCCTTTTCCTGCAGCTGGAGGGGAACACAGCCAAGCAGTAAATTAAATTGGTCCGAGAGCTTGTAGCTACAAGTGAAATCTTGACAGGAACATGTATATTCATTCATCTGGTTGGTTGTGTTGTGTTCCAAAGCATTCTCTGTATATTTAGCATCACCATTTTCCCCAGATCTTGAGGTCTGTCTGGAACATTTTTTATTTTTATTGTCCCAGTGATCTTAAAGATGTTTCTGCTCTTGGGCTTTTCTTTTGCCTTGTTCTGCACTGTTGGATTTTCTGATAACTATCAGCTTGATAGACAACAGCTATCTCAGCTAGTTCCTTTGCATCTTTTTTTCTGCTGTCAGAAAATTGTGTTGAGTTGCCATATTTTGCTGAAAATAGATGGCATTGCAATGGGTTTGATTATACGAGTAGTATATACATCTCTTAAGCTTACTATCTTAGTGTTTGGCTGCTCTGATGCTACCTGTTCTTTCATGGTAAGAACGAGATACTGCTCTTAACAGAAACTGCTTGCTTGCGGAAAATTGCGATGAATTATTGACCTTATGTGTTTTGGATATGTTTGAGTTGCTCGTCTAGGAGGTGTCTATGAGCTGTGCGAGTAGTTTAGATGACTTCTGTTCCACTATGAACCCAAATATACTTTAAAATATCTTTCTGCACAAGGGTTAAAACAGGGAAGATTAAAAAAAAATTAAGCTTAAAAACTAAATGCACTGAAGCGTCTGTTCCCATCGGTTTGAGTCGCGGTGGCTGGGAGGGAGGACTGTAGCCGTCCCGGTTCTGTTTGCCCACAGAAGGATGCCCTGCAGTGGTCTCGGAATCTGTCTGTGCCCGAAGGGGAGGAGCTGGAGGATACCGCAGACGCCGAAAGTTGCGAGTCCAATGAAGCAAGCACTGTGAGTGGTGATAATGATGGTAAGTGTCTGATAATGTTAATCTGGAGCTATAGGATCTGCTTCTGGGTCTGACAGAGTGCCTGTCTCTTCCAGTGTCCCTTGATGAAACCTCCTCTAATGCCTCGTGTTCCACGGAATCGCAGAGCAAGGGACCCGCTGCTGCCAGGGAGAGCTACCGAACCACCTCCCAGGTAGGGAACAGTGGGACTAACGGGAAGCACGAAGCCTCTGGGCGGGAGCTTCTGTCGCTGCGGGACAGCCGGGTTAGCGTGATGGCGAGTAGTTGTGCCGTGTCCCTTGGAGAGAGTGGCAGGGCTGTCTCCTTGGGTGGGGGGCTTGCAGCGTGGGGAGGGATCGTGTGCAGGAAGGGGATTTTGAATTCTCTGCTAGTCATAAATACAATGACACCTGAAGATTTACCCAGGAGCTAGGCAGCTCTTTGAGGAACATGCTGCTGAGGAGATTATTTTACCCCTCCATGATGTCTGTGTTCCTTTGCTTTGTTTTCGGTTTCTTTCTGGACTGCAGACAGCCAAACAGAAGAAGAAGACGGGTGTAATGCTGCCACGCGTCGTCCTAACACCGCTGAAAGTCAACGGGGCACACATGGAGTCTGCCTCCGGTGAGTGTTGCTTTCGTTGTGGTGGTTTCCTAACGACTGCACAGACAGCTTTTAATCAGTGCTCCCATTATCTGTGAGTTCGAGGATTTGTTTAACACTTGGTGAGGATGCAGGTGACTGTAAATGACACAGACTGTGTATGGGCAACTCCATCAGAATAGTTTGTAACTGGGCAATACCCTGTAACGGTGGATCTGTTATTGGCAGGTAATTCTCACATGTTAAACCACTCTCCAAGTGGGGCTTCTGCTGTTCTTTGCATGTTTTGATGAAATTGTTTTGCTTTCAGGCTTCACAGGGAGGCACGCGGATGGGGAGAGCAGCAGCACGTCCAGCAGCAGCAGCAGCTCCCTGGCCCTGTGCAAAGCCACCTTGCGCAGCAGAACAGAAATAAACAGGGATCCTCCGCAGCTCCTGAGAGGTATCCGAAAGCCCACAGCTGGTACGTGCTGCTGATTAAAGTTAGAAGAATAATTGGCCATAAAAGCAGGCAATGCTGAAGTCTGTGTATATCTGAGAAAATGCCAAAGTTCCCTTCCTTCAGAAGGCACATGACCACCTCGAGGCTCGCAAGCTGGACCTTCCTCCCCAAACATTAGTGAGACAGTTTAAAAAATTTGCCTAATCCAAAGATCAGCATCGAGAATGGTACCCAAATGTGACAGAAATGTGACCTCATATCAAAACTCCAGATGTGTGTCTATGAATTAGTGTGATCGAGAGTCTTTCTTCATACTTGAACACAATAGTTTTTTTCTCATGTCTTGCTCCTTTTGCTGTAGTAGTTGGGCATGAATGTCTTGCCCACAATGCTGAAATACTTTTATACAACGTTTATTTAATTTGCCTGTCCTTAAACTGCAGGGCAAATGAAGCGAAACAGGGGTGAGGATATTGACTTCGAAACGCCGGGCTCCATTCTTGTCAACACAAACCTGCGAGCTCTGATCAACTCCAGAACCTTCAACGCGCTCCCGTCGCACTTCCAGCAGCAGCTTCTCTACCTCCTTCCCGAAGTCGATAGGCAGGTAGGAGGGTGCAGCGCTGGGCTGTTTCCCAGCCACCGCGTTGCCCCTTGGTTGTGGAACGGTGGAGCAAAGGTTTCCTGTGTGTCCCGCTAGGTTGGGGCTGACGGGCTGATGCGTCTCAGCGGCAGCGCTCTGAATAACGAGTTCTTCACCCATGCTGCGCAGAGCTGGAGAGAGCGACTGGCTGATGGTGAGTAGGTTTGCTTTCCTGGGTGACTGGAGAATGGGTCCTCATTTTTGGGGATTTTTTTGTTTTTCTTTTGTGGTTAATGAACAGGAATTTAGTCCAGCTTTCCAGTGTATCTGGCTATATTTGCTCCAGCTTTTTTTTTTTTTAAATCAAGGATGTGTTTCCCTTTGGTGCCATGAGACCTTCAGAACGAGGTGGTGGAGGTATAAAGTAGTGCCAGACTTATCTGTCCTTAAATGGTGACCTGTGTCTGGTAAAACACAATTTTTTTCCAGACCTGAGGCTGCGTGACCATTGCCCTTAAGGAGCCGCAGGCAGCGTGTGGACCCATAGTAGGGTGGGGAGCAGGGCGATAACAGAAAATCTGTCCTTCGTATTGATAGCTGCTGTACTGTAAAAACACAAAAGGTTGCATTTGCAGAACCAGTTTTGTTTGGAACTGAATTTCAGTCTCTTGCTTCCACGTAGGTGAATTCACCCATGAGATGCAAGTTCGAATTCGGCAGGAGATGGAAAAGGAAAAGAGAGTGGAGCAGTGGAAAGAGAAGTTCTTTGAGGACTACTATGGACAAAAGTGAGAAATTTTACCTCATCTGTCCTGTTTCATCTATGTTTATGCAGGTGGCAGAGTGGGCTTCTGCTTGTGGACACCTGAGAGGGTGCGGCACAAACTCCTTGAACAGTGCAGCTTGTGGGGTGAATCCTTCAGTGCTGCTCCAGGGAGAGCCTCGGTGGAGGTGCTGGGTCCCAGCAGAATTTTGTAGCCAGTCTATTTTGTTTCTAAGACAAGTTAATGTTACTTGTTTTCCTTCTGAAATCTTTACATTTTCTTATTTTTCTCATTCCCTGCGACAGGCAGGTGGGATAGCGAGTGTACAGGTTGTCTCGTTGCAGCCTGACTTCACGAGGTTTTGATGAGTCTCTGCCTTGTGTCTGTGTGTTACTGGGTGGAGTGGTGACAGCACAGCCATGAGAGGAAATGCTTACATTAGGATGGGCTTTAGCTTTTAGCTAGTTTTTATGTTTGCCTCATAGGTTGGGCTTGACCCAAGAAGAATCCCAGGAGCAGAATTTGGTGCAAGAAGATGCTGAGAACAGGACAAGACTGTCAGTTAAGGGAGAAGCGAGGCTGCCGCGCGGTCCTGCGACACGGCAGAGAGATGGGCGCTTCAAGAAACGCTCCCGGGCCGACCTGCGGTGCAGAGCCAGGAGAAGCCTGTACAAATTGCGTGAACCTGAGCAAACGGAGACTTCCAAAGAGACCGCTTCTGCGGGACCAGAGTCCTCTCTTCATAAAGAGACCAAGCCTGAGATAGACCTGAAGAAAGAGGAGCTGACAAGCCCTTCGGCTGCAGCACTGAAGGCAGAGGGTTCAGAATTGCACCTCTCTCCAGAGACTTCCAAATTACACAGTAAATCAGAAGATCCGTCGTTGGCAGCTGCAAACAGAATTCCCAGTTTGCCCCAGGAGAACTCCGCTCGGGAGTCCAAGGACCAGAAGAGGAAATGCTTTGAGGAGACTGCCTCTGCCTCCTTCCCCGAAAAGAAGCCCCGGCTTGAAGATCGTCAGTCCTTTCGTAACACAATTGAAAGTGTTCACCCAGAAAAGCCACAGCCTACTAAAGAGGAGCCAAAAGTCCCACCCATCCGGGTAGGAGGGAGAATTCTAGCTGCTTGGTATCTCGGGGCTGTCATGCTCAGTAGCATCAAAACATTATTAAAATGTCAAGTGTTGTCATGTTAAGAGCAGAAGTGGCAGGGTTTCATTGGTGGAACTGGCTAAGTACCTCTGATTACCACCGTTTACTCTCATATTTAGACAAGCGAAGAATGGAAAATCGTTCCAAGGTCTTTGCACAAGAGCGCAGGGTAACCTTGACTTACTCTGTTCCTTTGCATTTCTGTGGATACAGAAATCACTTTTCCTGAAACTAGCTCCTGTTGCAAAAAAGGCCTTCCAATCGTATTTGTGATTCTGTGTCGTTCCTCAGTCCCTTTCCTTTTGGGCAGAATCTTTGCATTCCTCCTGACTTTTCCCGTTTCAACTAGAGGTATCCATCCTGTTAGCTTCAGGGTGGTCATCCTGATGGAAAGGAGACCAGTGAAGATCTGAATGCAGATCCCTTATTTCATATTTGTCTGTGGGCTCTGGTAAAACACTGTTGATATTGACTGAGCTTTACCTATCCCATGACCCAGCACATAGGCAGAGGTTACGGGGCAGACGCTCCTTCTCTGCCAGAATTAGTTTACAAGCTGGAATTTTAATTTTTTGTTGAATTCTTGTGATAAGGATTGTGATGAGCAGATGCTAATAAAATGCATTTTGCTGCCTGAAAACCGTCGAGTGTTAGAACTAATGGCTTTTCCCTTTCTTTCAGATTCAACTTTCACGTATTAAACCACCCTGGGTGGTTAAGGGTCAGCCCGCTTACCAGATATGCCCCCGGATCATCCCCAGCACGGAGCCCTCCAGCCCCCGGGGCAGGACCGGTGCCCGGACCCTCGCAGACATTAAAGCCCGTGCTCTGCAGGCACGAGCCCAGCGAGAAGCTGCTGCTACAGCCGCCATCGGAGGTGGGGGCGGCCCGGGTGGAGGGAGAAGCGCTGACGAAGGAGGCGGCAGAGGAGAATCCAGCAGCCGTACCGAGCACAGGAGATCCAAGAGAACTCACGGAAAGCGTTCGTCAGATCTACAACGAACACAATTACTGCCGTCTCTCCATCTGAACGGAGGAAAGGCTGAGGGGGCTGCTCAGGAGGCTGACCCCAATTCCTTCCTCTCCTCAAGACAAGACCCCTTTCCTTCAAAGAGCGAGGGAAGCGGTGGTCTGGAACACCCTGTGGGCACTGGCTCCGGGGAGGCTCAGCCTGGTGATGGGTCACCGCCAAGGCAGCTCTGCGGTGCTGGGACTGGGTCGTCCTTAGACAGTGCAACCTCTGAGAGGCAGGAGGAGAGCCCCGAGCAGCTCCTCTGTGACCCAAGGACCGAAACCCCACCTTGTGTTGCATCGCAGGAGAGGCAGAGCACAAAGCTGAAACGTGCAGTTCCTCCCGTGAACGGTCTGTCGTGTTCTCAGGCGCAGGGAGCTGCGGTCAGTCTGGCGGGAGATGGGGTCGTGGCAGACCTCGGAGATGTTGGTGCTCCCGCCGTGCAGCTGGATTATCCTTCTGATGTAAAGGAAAACTCCTCCAGTTGTCCTCTTCTGCCAGAATTGTCACCAGGTGGTAAAGAATGCCGGGAGCCAGAAATGGTGGCTAGGTTTAGATTTAATGGCTCTGAAACATTTGCGGAAAAATGCGGCGCTGACAGCGACAACCCCAAAACAGTGACTGCTGGCGGGGAGAAGGCGGCAGTCCCTGCGCACTGTGACTTCCCACGCCTGCAGGCAAGGAAGGAGAGCGATGGCAGACGAGGGGACGAGGAACGGAATGCAGAGCCTTTGAAACCCTCTTTACACCATGACTTTATTTCTCAGAATAGGATAGATACCTCTGAAAAACTTCTGCAGCCGAGGGAGGGGTGCCCCAGAACAGACCCAGAAAATGCACGTCAGCCGCTGAGAGAGACTCCAGAGCTCCAGACAAACGGAGATGATGAAATACAGAGTACGCACAGCGAAACGACAGATACAGCTTCAGACTGTGAAGGTGACGTGGCGGATGGGAACGCAGAGATGGATCTGTGCTTCGGGAGTGCCAGCTGCAGGGAGGGGGCTGGCAGAGACTCCTCCTGTCACAGCAGCACCGAGAGAGGCGATAGGATTAGACCAAAACCATCCGTGGAAGCCGAGAGCCTGGCCTATGCTGGGGACTTCCCTGCAGTCACAGCGATGAGCGCTGCACCCCCAGCTCGCCGATGGGGACCCTGCGCACCACCGCCCCAGAAACCCGAGCGGCCGGCGGGTTCTGCTCGGCCCCTGTCCTCTGTTGAAACCAACAACCCCTTGGTGATGCGGCTGCTTAAGGGGCACCTGCCCCAACCTGCCCCTGGAAGAAGTTCTCCCGGTACCTCATGCCAGCATCAAGCTGGAGATCACGCAGCCGCCTCCGGCCAAGCAGCCCGAAAGCCTCCCCCTGCAGATGGAGAGAGGTGGCGGTTGCTGTGTCGGTGAAGAATCTTCTCCAGATGTAGGAATAAAGAGGAGTGCCCTGAGCAGGAGCGATGACTTCCACTCGATGAGATCGTCCGTAGATCCCCAGGAGAAGAAGCACGGGTCAGGGACAGCGTTGCCTAGAGCAGAGGATGCGGAGGATCAGTCTGTTCCAGAAAAACATTCCAAAGTTGGCTCAACTTTAAGCTGCCCAGACCAGCTGGCAAATGTGTCAGGTGCCTCTCAGAAGCCTGAAGATGGGGGCCCGCAGGAAAGAACATTTTCTTCCTGCAGCTTTGAGGAGCAAAAGGAGTTGCCCAAGGTCCATCGGGTGCCACAGCACAACCCAGCGACAAGTGTCATCACAGATAAAAGCCTGGAGAAGCTGAACGCCTCTATGGAGCCTCGGTTTTTATCTCCAGCTGTAACTTCTCTCGGTCCAAATCAGACAGGGGGTACCTCAGTCAATAAAAATTATGTTGGAGTTCAAGGCAAAAAACTCTTTGGTTCTGGTTTTCCTTCCAACCCCAGTGTTCGACTCCATCACTCCAGGGCTTTGGATCAAGCTCCAGCCATGGGAACCTTGTCCCCCAGCAAACAGATTCCTCTGCACAAGAGCTGCGTGGCAGGAGAAGGAATGCCAGCTGCAAGGGAAGAGTGGACTTCAAAGCAGCACGCCGACACCCTGGGAGGAATCAAAAACGAGAACGTGCTGGCGTGTGGCAGCCCAGCCAAGAGTAACGCCGAGAACCGGAGGGATGCGGCACAAAACCCCGTGGAGCTGACGGAGCGTTTGCAAAGTGTTCCGCTGGTGATGGACTTGCCATTTTTCAGGTTTTCAAGGGAAGCAGGAAAAGGACACAATCACCCTTTGGAGCCTTCTTCCATCCCCTCCCAGCTCAATATCAAGCAAGCGTTTTATGGGAAGCTTTCTAAGCTGCAGCTTAATTCCACCAGCTTTAATTATTCATCCAACACTCCAGCTTTTCCCAGAAGTCTTGCTGGAAGCATGATGCAGCTAACCCACAAAGCGAACTTTGCTGCAAACCGTAACACGTCCCTTTCCGTGCAGATGTTCGCTGATAGCAGCAGCGTTGATGAGATCTCGTTCAAGTGCTCGTGCAGCCTGAAAGCCATGATCATGTGTAAGGGCTGCGGGGCGTTCTGCCACGACGACTGTATAGGACCCTCCAAGCTTTGTGTATTGTGCCTTGTGGTGAGATAATAAATTATGGCCATGGGACAGGGTGTATAGTCGGTGTGTGTATTTTGATAACGACTGATCCTGAAGCCTGTACACAAAATACTGTTCTGTTTGTGGTAGAAATGCTGTTACACTTTGGTTTGGTGAGGAAAGTTGACTTGCCTTCCCACTCCGATCCACCGTGCAAACCCCTTTCTTGCTCACGGTTACACTCCGCTCTCCTGGGCTGCACCCCACTGGAGCGATCCTTCTGCTTCGTGCTGTCCTGGAAATACCGACTGTGCTCTGGTGCGTGCACTGAGGCTGGCGCCGGCGTGAGAGGCAGTTTGCTGTGGCAATCCGTGGACCCTCCGTCGAGGAAATCTTTCCATCCAAAGGAACTGGAGCAGGGCGTTTTCTCCTTCAGGGCTGCGCTCGGTGAGCCCCTACAGTCTTCCACTCTCCCCTTGGGCCGTCTCCATCCCTGTGTGCGGGGGAAGCACGGCCGCGAGCCGGGAGCCGTTCTGCAGCTGCGGATCTGGACGGTGGCTGGGCGCTGCCGCGGGACGCGGTGCCCGGTGAAGCAGCGCCGTGCACGGCTCACCCTGCGCTGGAGGGAGCCGGCCTGGGGGCTGCATGAAGAAGAGAAAATACAAAAGTGGCAGGGGCCGGGCCAAAGCCTTTGGCAGGGCTGCAGGGGGGGGGACGGCCCGGGACAGGGCGTATGGCCTGGAACTGTGCCTGGCGGAGCTTGGGGACAGCGCTCTGACTGTCCCTTGGGCTGGCTT